AGAAGTATAAAAAATATGCAATATAGTTCATAGTGAGCATGAAAACAAAAGTTGATTTTGTTTCAGTAAAAAGTTAACCTCTCATAAGCTGCGAAAAGCGCGAAATACCGTAGGTACTGTAAAATGCTGTCACCGGTGAGCGCTGATCAGTGCAGCGGCACGCCGGTGGGCGCTGATCAGCGCAGCGGCTCGTAAGAGGTTGTATGTAGTACTACTTTACAATAAACTATACACGGATATAAAAATTGTTCACTGTAAGTATGTATTTAAAAACAACTTGTCTAATATATCTGAAAATATTAATAGGTAGTAGTCACGGGCGAATGCGTTTAACGAGATATATGTAATACCTAATATTTATTTATGAAGGCATAGAGGTTCTGCATGAGAGAGGTGCCTTGTTTGTCTGAGTGTGGAGAGAACTCATACATTTTTATGTCGAACAGCAGAACCGTATTACACAGAGACGGGTTGTTTGTGTCTAGGAATTGAAATGGCCTATGGGCTCCATATGAAATGTTTACCATAAATCAGGGAACCTAGTCCCAGAAAATATTATATTACATAAGTCTCTTAAATATTTTTCTTCCACGGGAATTACTTCGTTAAAACTTGGGGATATAAACTTATTTGGAATGAGGTAAATTCGCTCGTCGGCGGACCAAAAAGGTAAGCCCTGATAAGCCCGCGTCAAATGTCGGAAAGTGCCTATAAAGGCGACCTTTAATCAAGGCTCAGTGTAACTTAACTTTGATAATATTTAGGTGTACCTTATTTGTGAAAAGAAAAAAGGCGAAATACTTAGAATGTAAGTGGTTGGATTATCACCACTTTATTTTAGTCAAATTCACAATAATATCCAGTAATGTGATAATAATATGACTGACTTACTAGATATTAATGACTGCATAGATAGCGTAGTGATTTAAGCAAACACTACACCGCTTAATGCTCCGCTCTTTGTGCCCGTTTTTTACCTATCACATCACATATCGACAGCCTTTAATAGTCCCCTGCTCGACATAGGCCTCTCCTTGGAAGAGGTTTAGTTTTCACCCATAAGTATGTATAAATACATATATTATATTCTAGTCCTCTGCATTAGACTCACTTGTGATGGAACACCGAGTGTTTATAGTCGGTTTCGAATCTGACATATCACTTCCGCTGAGGTTATGACACTTATGGATTGCCACACGTAAAAAAGGCACTTGACACTAATATAATTATGTAATATTAATCTCTCATATAATCTCCATAGTTTAATAATCAGAAACATTAAATAAGTAATATTCACGCGAGCGAAGCCGCGGGCAATGGTTAGTTTTATAATAATTTAATCTAAAGAACGTTAACTTTAAAGTTAAATGGTATATAATATTGGATATTAATAAATACAACATGGTCTTGTGTGATCGAGCAACTTAAAGTTATAAAATTGAAAGTGTATGCTAAGTTGTATAACCACAAGATTAATATATAACGTTTAAAAACCTTACATCCCATTTTTTTAAATTGAAATGTGATTATAAACATTGAACAGATCCAATACGCCATTAAGCGATAAACAATCTGACAGCTGTCAGTTCGAAACACGTCAACACTACACTTTTGTTTATACTCTATGCAAAACTGTCAGTTTATCGGTTAACAAATTGTATCTGTTAGTGACTTCACCCTTGAATCCAATTGAATTCAATGATACTTAATAAATTATAGTGAAATCGAATTGAAGTAAACTATGTTTTTTTATATTTTTATGCGTTAGAATAAAAGCAATTCTAAAAAGAAGGTACAGAAAAGCACTGCTAAGGATTTTACGGGGTAGTTATAATAGGATGGTCAAATATAAATACTAATGCGTTCTTGAAAGATTAATGGTTCTAAAATTCTAATACAGACATAAGCATGTCATTGATCAAATTGATATCCTAAATATATAGAGAAAAGTAAAAATTGTGTGACTACAACAAGACGAGCGGCCGGCGCCACAGCGGTTATGTTAAGTTCAAACATTATGTGCGTAGGTGAGCCCCAATTCACCTACGCACTGTAATGACTCCCAAGTTTCTAATGACGACTATACAACTCTCCAATAGCTTCGTGATGAATAATTCTGAGTCTAATTCAATGAGAGTTCTAAGACATATAATCTGTACTTGGAATTCGCGCTACGCTTTGTTGGTAGTTGATAATTAGGCTAGAATTAACTATTGTTACGTCGCGTAGGATTGTCAATTCTGTCGAAATGCCATCGATTTACAGGTAAAACTATAATAAATATATATAATAAACTAAATTACTATATATATATATACTATATATAATAAACTAAATTACTCAATCTTAATAGATAAAAATAAATCAGCTCATCTGGCATGGTTATCCTTGAGAAAAACTTAGTTCTTTAGTTCTTTTTTTATAATTTTTATATTTTAATAAGTTATTTTAATTTATTTATTTCTTTTAATAATTTATTATAATAAAAACAAATAAATAATTTCCTCAAAAAACGTAATATATTTTCAACTACCGATATTTATACCGATGCCAATGGCTACTCGATGGCATCTCAATAGCGTGTCAGTGGTATGACACTGGCTTGGCGTAAACATAAAATAGCAGAATTGAGGCCCTGGTCCTGCCCGCATACTTCCGCGGCCTTCACCAGGTCGTCGGACCACCTTGTCGAGGGCCTACTCGCGCTGCGATTAAAACTTACTGCGCCTATTACACAAAGGTAGACTTCTAAGGCATTATCTGCCAGTTAATCTCAGAATGATGAAGATATAAAAATGTGGTATCTACCACATTTTTACGTCTTCATCAGACTTCATCATAACAGAAGAGACGCGGCATTACATACGTTCACCGTTAATGAATTCGTTTACTTAAATAAAACCTGTCACTCAACAACCTTTTTATAGATGAATTAATATTTTTCCCGTTATTCCGAAAGTTCAAGATAATAATTAGTAGATTATACCATTTAATCGTTATCACTGTAATCCTGTTTTAGATTAGATTAGGTTTATTGAACACTGATGGCTAATTAACAATATTATTTTCTTTTTTTTCTCATGAGCTATTCAGTGTTTACCACTCTTTATTTGCCATCTACACAAGCTGTTCAAGAACTTCACATCTCTACGTTATCTGCACGTGAGAATCATCAGTAACACGAACACATGCACAATCTCAGTTCACGTTGTATTTCGAGAATCGTGATTCATGTGTTAACAGATGGATTTTATCTTTGATACAAAAGCGTTCGGTCTCCTTCACTTTGGACAGTTAACAGATATATATGTTTACTTACGAGAAGAGTGACAACTTAAATTCTTTCAATTTGAATAAATATTCCCTGAGGAATCGGAGAATAATTTTACACTTGGCAACAGAAAAGGGATGGAAGTAATAAAGTGTCAATTTTTCAATATGTATGTAATGAAAAAAAACTAGGCTTATAACCCGGCAATCTCGTGCGCGACCGTCCTGCGGGGTGACAGACGGTGGCGGGGACGAGGAACTCAAGATGTCAGCAGGTAGCGGGTGGTGTAGTTGGGAAGGGAAACACTTCTCTTCGTGTGTAGCCGTGTGCTAGAATGACGCGCTACCTCGCCCCGCCACTGTCTGTCACCCCGCGGGACGGTCGCGCACGAGATTGCCGGGTTGATGTTGACGACGTTGATGGACTATAGTAACAAGTTTCCTGACATACTCAAAGCTCCTATTACTACTATATCTAGTCCTGATCTACACTAATATCTTCAATGGTTTTGCTACTCTTTGCTACGATAACGATACGATTACTTATGTTATTTTATAATTAAACCAAAGTGATAACGTCTTCAACGGCAATTACAGTTTTTGTGCGAGTGTATCCCGTGTAGTGTGAAAAATTTAAACTTAGACAGCCTGAATTCTCTAGTACAGAAATTATATTTTTAAGAAATTAGCAAAATATGCCCACCGCGTAAGTCACCATTTCACCGAAACAAAAGTTGCATTCTCGTTCATAGTTAAAAAAGGACAAACTACGTTTTTGAAGTGAATTGAAAAAAATCGTGTTTTAGACTTATCGCACCCTCCTCCCAAAGAAACGACAGTAACCAGAAAGGGACGAGCTGCATCTGTTCTTTCTAAACTTAGCAACTGAGAACGACAGAAAACAGTGACTCAAGTTTAGATTCAAGGATTACGACTATTTTAGGGGCATTCAATACAATGGTTCAGCAAGTTATGACGTCACAGGAATTCAATGAATCATGCTTTGAACTTAGTCATCTTACTTACAGACAGCTAACATAATAACAGTGGAAAATATGTTTATTTTATCAGTGATTTGACTTTTTTGTATTTGATGCCTAATTCTTGCGGATGACTAGTTCACAGATAACTAATACTAATAGTCTAGTGCCGTCTTTTAACTAGTAAGAAGAGTAACAAAGCTCGAAATATTGGTATTTCACGTGTTTTATGGGCACTTATAACCGCTTATTAAGGCGCAATACCGTGTCTTTGATACTAATCAGCTGTAACCAATGCCATTTCATCTGAGAAAAATTTTGTGAAATGTTTTCTTCACCGTAATAAAGTAACACTTCCTCACAATCTTCCCAATGCCTCGTAATTTTTCAGTTATTTGTGGTGCTCTGAATTCGTATTTAAGCTTGTTTCTTTCGTACCTTTCACTTGACCAGCGTCAAGAAGTCTGCTAATTACTACATAAAAATATCATTTTGATACGACATTTAAAAAAAATATGAAAATTAACTTCTAAGATTTGTTTATATAGTTATTTACAAGAGAATTCCTGTAAATTTTCGTCAGCGAATATTTATTTGAAAATAAATAACTTAATTTACTGGTAATGGCCACAAAAAATATTTATTTTGTACAGTTCAATACCCTTACAACAGTATTTCGGCGCCTAAAAGAACTGAAGTCATTAAATGAAGAGAGTTCTTCAAGTGTTCTGCAAAGCTGTGTATACTCACTTGCCGGAGAGCACCAACGAGAGGCTATCCACTTTAGTGACCTTCTCGTGAGCATAAAGCTCATGGCACTTGAGGTGGCGTATATTACGCATGCACATTAACACCCGCCGGTACTGCCGACGCGACACCCGCAGAGGCTTGAACAGTTGAATGTATACCTGGAGAAGAGACACATTCCTTAGTTCCTCCTTTTTTAAAGACAACTGCCGCACTAGGAAAAAGTCCTGTGTCGCAGGGGACTTACAAACACACGTAAAACGGACCCAAAGAAAACCCAGATTCAGAACAATAATTTGTGGAACACACAGTGTTGTAACATGTGGGGATCGAACCCACAACACTCAGCGCAGTAGGAAGCGGCAAGGTGACCGCTTAACCACTACGCCATCTGTTCAGAAATGGACTGACAGTATTGGAAGGAACATTTACTAAGATAGTAGATCGTTTACGAAGTAAGTATTAGTTCAGTAAAGCGACTTTAAAAAAACAGTCTCAAATTGTTAATAGTTTTTGGTATTTACAAACTGATTTGGACAATTCTTTTGTTGTTTGGAAGGGTAAGGTAAGTCTTAACCTTTTGACCCTTTTAAATTAGAGAAAAATACTACCCCTGAGGGTGGAAAATTAAAGTATGATTGAAGTTTGATACTTAAAAAAGAAAAGGTCCGTGTGGTAACGGATTTAGAATACAGAGAGTCACCACCCCTGTTCGTCCCGTGGGTTTCGTAAGAGTGGACTAAGGGACTAAACTGTGCAGAACAACAGCACTGCAGAGAAGGAAAACCTGATACAAACCCTATACCAAACCGTCTGGCCAGCGTGGTATGGTAGGCCAAAACATCCTTTCTAAGGAGAGGCTTATGTCCAGCAGTAGACTATTAAAGGAACAATCTAATCCGCAAAATAAGTTATTTTTATTTTCTTGCTTCATTAATTATATTTTTAGGATGTAAAACTAAGAGTACAAGCTTCAAAACTATAATGGAATAGGGATTCCAGGAATATTTTTGTACATACAAGAGTTTATTAAGCGAACAAAGCGACTTCATATTAGTACGAACACGCATCAAAGTTCGACTTTTTGATTTTTTTTTTCGATGATGATGATTGATGAATTTTATATATGTCTCCGATTTAGTTTGTCCTACCATGAAGAACTTACAATAGTTCATAATTACCAGACCTTGAAGTTTTGAACTATAATGATAAAATACTGGTACAGCCTGAATCTGGATCGACCTATCAAATTATTTATCATAAAAGCGTTGATTAATGTGAGGTAGCGATACTTTATCCTTTCAACATTGATGTTTCTAATAAAGTAATTCATAAACATGTAACGCCAAAGACTTAAGAGCCTCTCAATTAAAAGATGTCGTTACATCTGTCACTTCAAAGTAAATGACAGCTGTGGAACCAAAAAGCATACGGTATTTTTTCATACCAAAATATAACGTATATTACTTTTAAAATGAAGTTTCATATGTCACAGGCCACTATTTACAGACGGTGAGTAAACACCGGGCGTGGAGGGCGCCGAGATGAGTATTTTTCTCCGTCGAGCAGATACAATAGCGGTGAACAATATGGCGCACGGAATTTTGTCATTCTCTGAAAAGCTTCTACTGTTTTGTCTCTAACGTTGAGGGGAAATGCACCTGCGCTTTTCTGGATTAGGCTGATTAAGTCGTTGAAAATAAAGACTAGTTTTTGGATTGAGAAAGTTGAAGCCAACGTAAGCGTTACTTTGTGTTTTGTATTAAGTTTAAGAGCCGACTAAAGGAGCAAACTACGAAGGACAACAGCACCGCAAAGAGAAGTAAAACTTAACATAAACCCTGCGCCAACCCGTCTACCCAGAGTGGTATAGTAGGCCAAAACCTTCTTTCTAAGGAGAGGCCTATGTCCAGCGGTGGACTATAAAGTCGCAATATACCGTTTGTAACATGTGGGATATTGCATTACAAACAAAGGGTAAAAACATTTGTGTTCATACTTACAAATAAAGTATGCAGTCTTTGTAAAATTAAATATTTATAATAGGCGAGTGTGGAATAACTAATATATAGGTAAATTACAAGAATGCGAGTAGTTTGCAAAGAAATCCCAAAGCTGTATATATTACTATGTTTTCATGTTAAAATTTTATTTTTGGAGACGGTTAACGTAAAATCCATCCACTACAAAATGATATCAATTAATTTGTTGTTCTGCTTTATAACATTAACTAGCGTGGAATTCGAAAAGCCTAAGTTACTCCTTATACAGACAGCTACCTGCTAGTAAAATATTATCAAAATCGGTCAAGCCGCTTTGAGGATTGCATTATTTTGAGTCTACAAAAATACACTTCAATTTTATTTATTTGTATAGATTAGCGTATTTCACAGAAAACTGTTAATGTCCTCCAAGCCTCAGTTCAAAGGTTCAGATTATATGACCTGGCTGCTATTGCAAAACTACATTAGTCACTTTGATTTTGGTACATGGTATATACTATGTAAGTTTATTTGTTATGAATAAGTTCGAACACATAAATAAATACACCTCTAGAAAAGCAAAAGTTTATTTTGACATGTTAGCGGCCAGTACTAAGTGATCATGTTTGAGGACTTTCACGTTTAATGAGATGGTGACCTAAACGACTAAATAATAAACAAGTATAATAAGTCTAATTAAATTAACTTCTTATTAATGTCCGACAAACTTTACTCTGGCCTCCGCTTGCGTAAGTCTAAGGAAAAGTGAACAGTTACGTCTCCTAAGTCGAAAAGTAATGGCGGTACTCCATTGCCACTTTCGTGTCTATATAATTAATTCTTAGTGCTTTTACTTATAATATATTCAGATTATAATACCATATTTGCCTAAGCGGCAAGAAAATATTATGTAATTTTCGAAAACTGAGTTTGCAAGACCAGCGAACCAATCAACCGATTTTTTTATTGGTATTAAGGATAGGTGTCCAATAACTTAGTTAAATAAAAGTATGAAAGACTTTAATGCTTTCTCTCTTAAGGAATGCCTTTGGTATTAACACCCCTTCTTGTACGTACTGTGATTAACGTATTAAAAATAGATAGATACTTATATTCAGTTGAACTGTAAAATCTAGTCGAACTATAAAATCGTCACCAATCGCAACGTCGTACGCGCTCGCGGTCGAGAGCGAGTTGATGTAAAATATACTTGCACTAGGCCTTGATGGTGACTACCTGCTACCTCCCCCCCCCCCAGAATCAGAGGGAGGGTTTGGAGCACGGTTACCACACTCACTCGGTGAAAAGTTACAAAAATATGGCTTAACCCTTGGTTTTCTCTTAGAACATGGTGTAATTTGTGCCGAAGCATATCCTAGGATACTTTTATGTCAAAACGATACAAAGGATTATTATTCCATTCGAAATTTATAATTGTATAAACTTACTATATTTGAAAATGTATCTCTTGTCTTGTTAGGAATATCCTCATGATTTCGTCACCTCAGAACTTTTTGTATTTATTTTATTCCGTATATATAATATATAGTGATACTTATTTATGTATTCGTCTATGTATTTTAAATACTATTATCAAATTAAGGTTATATTTTCATAGCTTCTCTTCTTTTTACATAATACATGTGCACCTTCTTAATGTTAATAAACTCATAACATTATTTTAATATTCTTAAAAAATTAGCAAGCTCCAATTTAAAAAGAGATTTAAATATAGAAGACATTAAAGGATTTAGTGCCTCTTCAATTCCAAAACAGTTAAGTCCTGTATTACTAACGAATCATTTGCACAAGACCTTGCTGAATAGTCTTTGTTCGCATATGTTAATTATGAAGAATATTAGCTATGTAGGCCAGCCAGGACTGTGGCTATAAATAGCCATTCTCAGAGATGCTGCTTGTTTGTTAATTCGTTTCGCAGAAATTTTTGTCGGCGAGCGCATGGAACTTGATACCAGCTAAATTGAAATGCACAGCAGAATATAATATTAAAGAACCTATAGTAATTTCCTCATGTTTCCAATCTTTACACAGATTTTTACTTAATATACGGTTTAAATATCACTTTATTTCTCAAGATTACACAAATTGTAAGTGACAAGGAGAAATAAAATACAAAATAATAAAAGTAAACGTTGACAGGTAGATAATTCCAAACTGATTTTTATGCAATGTAGGTACTTCTTAAAATTAAGCTGTCCGGTCGAATGCTGGTTTGTAGTGGAGCAAATATAATGGTAGGTTTACACGCAGTAATTACTTTATAAATCAAATAGGTTTTTTAAGGCGTGAGCGGAGCCACGGGTAAAAGCTATTTTTAACATAAATCATTTAAATATTCGTTATTTCTGAAAAGTGTCTCCGAAAAAAATATCCATGAGAAAGCTTTTTTTATCATTCAGTCATTGAAATTATCGATGTCAACCCTCCAGCTTATTTTATTGTATATAATATATGACTAGCTACAATCCATACTTACGTAAATTGTATATATTATGTGAAAGTGAGTTTGTTTGTAACGCTTTTACACCTAAACCACTAAAACGAAAGTAAAAATTCTTCCACCAATGGAAAGTTACATTATCAGAGTAACGTAGGCTACTTTTACCGCAATAACCATACACGCGGACGGAGCCGCGGGCAAAAGCTTGTTGGGTATATATATACGAGTTCTGATATGTAGTACTTGCTATACATACCTACATACATCACATCACATCATCACATCAACAGCCTTTAATAGTCCACTGCTGGACACAAGCCTCTCCTTAGAAAGGAGGTTTTGGCCTACCACCTACCTACATACATATTGTAGGTAAATTACACCCAGACACAAAACAAATGATCATTCATATTATTTATCCTGGTTGGGAATCGAATAAACAACCCCTGACTTAGCAATCAGGATCGCTAACCACTACCAACAGGCCACTTTGAACTTTAATAAAAAAAAAATCTTTGAATTCAGCGTTAACATAACTCTTTCGTAAATATTTTACACGAAAAAAACACACTAGTCACACATTTCAGCACCTCCCTAAGGTAGACTGGGAGAAAATGCCTGTGGCATTAATTCCGCCATTGTAACACTCATACTTGTGCATAAAGAATAAAACAGAATAAAAAAGACAAAAACAGCATTCAAACGTGTATTTTCTATA